GCCTTGGCTGCCTTCGTGAAGGTGAGCAGGTGATTGAGCAGGATGAGCAGCTGGAAGAGGAATTGCCGCCGGAAGTGCGTATCTGCGATCTGGAATAGTACGTGTATCGATTAGTGAGTGGCAGCAGTGTTCATCGACATGGACTTGCCTCGAGATCGAGCAGCTCAGGGCTGGTGAGGTACTTGGCGAAGAAATACTCCTTGCCAGCGTTGTCCTCCGCCGCTTCCGGCTCACGCTTGCGTTTCAATGATGCCCCGCCCCCCGCATGCGTCTTGCTGCCCATGAGTGCCCGCTCCTTTGTTGTCGCCTCCTTGATGACTGGCAGGACCTTGTTCACAGATTCTTTGAACTGCGGGAAGACAGCCGGATCTGCGAACAGCGTAGGCCGCGAGAAAGGAAGCTGTAGCGACCAGAAAGTGTTATAAAATTCTGAGAAACTCATTCAGTCATTAGCTCAATGTAATCGCGGTCCCTCACGCACCTTCCTGTCGTTTTCTCCGTTCCTCAGCAGCCTTCGCTACCGGGTCCTCCTCCACCTCCGGCTTGGCCTCGTCGACATGCATCTTCTCCTCCTCCTCCTTCGTCGCCTCCTTCTCCTCCCTCTCCGTCCTGATCACGCCCGGCCCATCCCACATCGGGCCATACTCGCCGCGCAGGTTCACGCCGCTCCGCTCGGCGAGCGGGAAGACTCTGCTGAGAAACGCGAGGATGCGCCCGCAGAACATCGTCGTAGAGCCCGTCTTGGACAGCCGGCGGAGGAGGTCGTTCAGCGTGCGGAGGAGGATGAGCGCCTTGCCCTTCTGCGGGACCATGTCCTTCGTGAGCCGCGCCGCGCGCGCCTCGATCCAGGAGAAGATGTGCGAACACGAGGCGATGGTCTGCGCCTCGACGATGTCGGCGAGGATCTGCAGCGGGAAGCTGTGTTCGCATGCATCTGGGTTGGGTTAGGTTGGGACGGGAAAGAGGCGGTGGGGTGGGCGTACCGTGTTCGGTGAATGTTAGAACAAGGTCGAGTGTACCTCTGAGGTCTTCGTAGTACGAGGTGTTTGGGTCCTTGAGAGCCTTACCTTCTGTCGCCTACTATGTGCGTCCAGAACTCGATGATAACCAAGCTCGGATCTTGAACGTACCGCAAGGTTGAACACCTCCTTCCTCAACAAGTACTCCCACTGCGTCTTGCGGTTCTCCAAAGAGACTTTGTCGCTTGTCTCCTCAAGAGTCTTCGAGACCAAGTCATCTAGGGTCTGTTTGTCGACTGGCCGGGGTGGCAATGAGCTCAGCAGCGTCTTCAGGCTGGTCTCTAGAGCTTGCATGTTAATTGTGGCGTCCCAGACCTATTGGTGTGGCCCTGTGCTCGCCAAGAGGTCTCGTTGAACTAAGAAACGAGACGGCCCCGTAGATATTACAGCAGTCCCAGACTCTGTGACAGAAAGCCTCCACTGGACTATGCGGGGGGTTATTCGTGGTATAGGTGTTGTCAGATAGCAAGGGAGAAACAAGGGACAAGCGCGCGTCACGGCGCATATCAAGCGCTGGCCATTTGACCGCACGGATGCCATAGACGGGCGAGGTGCACAAATAACTGCTGGTATGCGAGGAAATAATATACATGGGATGACGAGAGTTGTATATACAATGCAGGAAATGGACTAGCAGTAGTTGGGAGACTGATTATGTGCGCTGGAGCCAACAAATCAAGATATCCTCGTTCATCCTGCGGCAGGACCTCTCCGTTTCTCGTCACGACTGTGTGGATATCTCGGATGCATCATGAGCAACGAGACTACGAAAATACCGAGTTGCCGTTGTCCAGAAAGATCCGCGGGCACAGATAGGGGCCGAAGTGAGCGCAGCGATCGGTCAACCGCTCCCGAGGAGCCTCCTTGCAGCAGGTGTACAACCCATGTTGAAGCAGGGCTAGAGGCGAGACATCATGCATCATGCCTGGTAATGTTGTGGCTATAGCGAACAATCAGTCATGTAAATGATATGGACAGACATATATGCGTACCTATGCACGGAATCAGTCGGTGTTTCAGGGTTTCCCTTCATCTTTCTGGACATTCACGTCCAATTGTTCCTGCGTCTCCGAAACGACCACTTCCTCGCGGGAACCAACGTCTTCTATAACAGTCACACTGGTGCTTTGGCTGACGATAGTGCCCTCTGCGCCAGGCTCAAGGGCACCCAACAGGCTATCCAACCCTCCTATCATGTCGTCCAGGCGGCTCTCCACATCTCTCGCAATACCATCAGCAGACTCCAGACGTCGCAGGAGCTCTATCACGTCGCCCTCATCGCCATTAGCCTCGGATTGTTGGAGAAGGAGGGAGAGGAGCGCGAGGTCCGAGTCTAGAGAGCCCCCGGAGGGTTTGGAGACTCCGTTGGACTCCTCTGTGGACATGTAGAAACCTGCGGGGCTCAAGAAAGACGAGATAATAGGGCCAGCGAGTGGAGAGTTGAGCTGAGTTCTGGTCAAATTCTGGTGAACGGCTGTGCTCGCCGAATCGCGCAAGTCTCGTATGTGCCCCCGGCCCGGCCGGTGCTGCGCGCGTAGCCACCGAGGGTACGACCGTCGACTGCGTCTTTTCGACCGCGCTGTCGTCGACTGGAGACTCGTGGTTCGTTTTGATGTCCTTATCAAACGGAAGGATCGTCATATCTTGAGTGAGTGCCACGAAACATGAGCAGAAGCCAAGGGGACTAACTCAATCTTGGCTCTCGAGCATTGTCCTACTTCCAGTACTTATGCACTCTGCCGGTGGCGGCTACAGAGCGGCATTCCGTGGACTTTCTGCATCTAGCCTTTGTCTCTGTACTTTCACTTTTCCTCGCGGACTCGCCCAACACCGGATTATTGGAAGTCTCCAGCACCGCGCCAAAACGCAATGGACGCTAGCATCGGCTCTGAGATCTCTCCATCCCACGCCCCCCTCCCACCCTCAGGTCGAAGACAGGCCCGCGGTGTCTGGAAAAGGGGCGCCACAGCGTCTCATAACCAGCTCCGACGCGGTCGATGCTGTCATTTCGATCATCAATGTAGCCCGCTTCTCCAAGCCCGGCAAGGCCCAAGCCAAGGAGCTCATAGCCCTCATCAAGGATGACCCTGACGGAGACGATTTACTGGTTTGGATAACCAACCATTCGCGACGGCGGAGCTTGGTTGTACGGATGCTAGACGACCGGCTGGCACAGCCAGTGCTCGCTCTGCATCTACTCTATATGGCGGATCGTCTCGCAAACGATACGGACGACGACCTCTACCATTTCATCACATTCAACTTCGTCTGGCGCCGACGTTGGGCGTGGATTCCAGGCTTGATCCAGGTCCAGATAGAGCTGACGGGCCGCACGACGGTGGAGATGCTCAATTGGCTCATCATCTCGTTCATCCGGAGAAAAGAACGAAAGGCGCCTAATGAGATCCTGCAGCTGTTCCACGACGCAGGGCTAAAGCCGACTCCACGCACGCACAAACTGCTGGCCGAGCTGTCCAAAATACCTCATAACGGCGAATCTCCTTCCACCGACGATGTACAGGTTAGCGGCACGATTCTTGCTATAAACCAGCGTCCTGACCGTACTTGTGATAGCTTGAGAACACCATGTCCTATCGCGACATGTCCTGGATTCTGCTACAGAATATCCCTAAACCGGCCCCAAAAGTCGACGAGATTGCGCTGAAGAAGCATGCGGACACAGTGAAGACGATCCAGGTGCACTTCAGATCGCTTCATTATCTGATGGATCAGATCAAACACCACGACTCCCCGGAGCGGTATGACCCGCAGGCCGACGCGTCGCTCATCTCTCGCCACTATAAGCTCCGCATGTTCCGCCTGAACCTGTACTCCCTCCTGCATCTGATAGAGGAGTTCGAGACCAAGAACTCCGCGCACAGCTCAAAGCCCCGCAAGCGCTCCGACGGCGAGAGCTCTCACACACGGAAAACGGAAGCAGGAGAAAGGAACGGATATGCGTCGACGATCCTTGGCGACGTCCGCTCGACGCTGAAGCTGATGGGCGACCTCGTGGAGCTGCTGAAGGAACACGACGCCAAGTACGCCCCGTTGGAAGAGGACCTGCAGGCCTTCTACCGCCGCGTGCAACTACTTCAGACTAAACAATCGAAGCACCCGGACAGCCCGAGGGCGAGCGAGAAGGCGCGAGGTGCACGGTCCGAGGGATCGGTGAACCCAGAGCAATCCCCTCCGTCGCCCGTTCGCCAAGTTCATCCCTCCGGCGCGTCGAAGTCCGGCTTTGGCCTCGAGCAGCTCTGACCGCGATACCACCCGCCGTCTCTTCGGGCGCGGTGACGTCCGCCAACTCGGCGGTTCTCTCGACACACTCTACGCGCGTATCAGACCTGAGCAGTGCGGCCGACTCTGCTGCCGCTTCGCCCGGTCGCTGACCATGCAAGGCCTCATACGACGCTTCCTGGGGCCTCTGCATTTCCAGCGCCCTCTGGGATTCGTGCTGCTGCAGTCAACGCGGCGCACAAGCGCCCTACAAACACCGGTGGCCGCGCCTCCACTAACTCCCCGCGATCTCTCTGGCTCCGAGGGGAAGAAAGATATATATGCGGGCAAGCCGGATGGATGTCCAGCGTTATCACTAGTCCTCTGGTGATCGTGCGGGTGTCAAGGACTCCTTGGAGCCTCGCGTTTGCGTTACGATGGAAGGCTCCTGAGTCGCGCGGACGCCGGGCGTTGACGGGTGGCTACTTACAGTACACCGGTGGTGCTGATTCAAGGCGCTGTCGCGCAAAGAGGGAGCTCCAGTACAACGATCTTGCAGTATGGCACGGTGGTCTTGTGGCCCTTCTTGAGTATCGTAGTGCAATGGCACCAGGCTCCTTTATAATGCATGGATTTATTTTACGACAGCGCTGATTCCAGGTGGGATGCAGCTGGGTCTGTGCAGGATTCATATACCAAGGTCTTGCTGAACGGGACGATTCAGTTTGGTGTTGGGTGGTGTGCCAAAAAGTGATACCAAAATGGCCAACGCCAGGATCGAACTGACGACCTTGGCATAACACGAAGAATCGTATTAGTACCACGCTCTAACCAACTGAGCTAGTCGGCCAACACCTTCACTTAAATGGACAGAGTACTGGTCTCAATTACGGCGACGACGTGCGCACGGGATGCCGGGTGGTGTGCTTCTGCTGGATGTGTTAGCTGGATGGGATGTGCTAGCTGAAGTGAGTCTACGATCCACGCGCCGGTTCACCACACTGATCTTGAAGGTTATCGACTATGAAGGGTGCTCATGGTCTCTGCGACTCTCGGCTTCGCGGTACGCCGCAGAGTGTCCCGACCGTCGTCCATCACCCCGACTACGCACGTTCTGGCTCGCATTTCGTCGTCTGGCCCTATCTACCGGCATCGCGGTGTTCGATGGTCCTCCACAGTAACTGCTGCAGAGTCTCCCAAGTCCATACTAGCGCCAGAGCGGTCCACCAACGGCTGGACGACCATCCTCACTAGCCTCGTCCAGAAAGAGTGGGACACGCGAAATAAGAAATACCTCACCCTTGTCACGTCTGACGAAAACGGGCATCACAAGAGCCTCCACTGGCACACTTCTCCGATGTCTTCTCCAGGTGTACAGGTCTTGATGTCGAAAACAGACCTTATCAAAGATGCAATCCCTGCATTCACGTCGCTCATTGACGCTGTATTTGTGGCGGCTCCTCGCAACAGATCAGATGCCCAGAGGCTTCTGAAGCTCCTCAATAACGAGCCTGTACCATACGCGCTGAGGATGCTTCTGTATCACAGAGGCATGGGCCTCCTATCCTCCCTGCTGATCGAGCACGATTACCCCTTCCATGCCTTACATGCCGCGGCTGCGGGATTCATTCAGTCTAGATGCTCTCCAGAATACTTACGCCGGCAGAACCTTGCATCAGACCTCGCTGCACGCCGGCACTGGGCTTGGATCTCACCGCTTGTTAAGCTGGAAGTGGAGCTGACAGGCCAAACCACCGCCGTTTCCCTCAACTGGGTCGTTACAGCCTGTATGGAAACAGGCGTTCATCGAACGCCGGAGCAGGTCCTGGACATGTTTCGAGTAGCGAAGCTGCGACCAAATCGATACACGTACAGGTTATTGGCCAAGCTCCAGCTCCTCGGGCCACCTTTTCCCTCGTCGTCGGATGTGAACCTTCAGCTGCACCAGAACGATGTCGATACTGTACTGTCTACAGTACCTGTCCTTCCTCTCCCACCTCAATCTCCAACATCCGTGTGCGACACTGGCAAGGATGGTACTATTGGTACTGGCGTTTCCGCAACTGTTACCACAGCAAACATCCTCCGCTCGATCCTACCCATGTCTCGGATACCCAGTGAGAGACAGGTCTTGAACCACATCAAACTCATCGAAGGGCATCCTGAAAGAGCCATGCTACTCCGGAGCTTGACGGTAACGGAACACCTGCGATCGCTGACGAAATACATGGTAACATGCAATCACCCACGTGTGGCCTTACATATAATCGCTATATCACATCATCTGACACGCAATTGCGACATCTTCCGTTGGCTGTACCGGCCGCTCAAAAAATGTGGATGCTGGAGCACCATTCCGGATTTTATCGAACTAGAATCGAGGCTCACGGGTACGAAGACCGTCGAGGGGGTCAATCTCCTCCTCCGATCTTTCGTTAAGCGGAAGATATACAAGGACCCGGTAGAGATCCGCAAGATATTCGAGCAAGCTGGCGTGCGCCCGAACGACCGGATCCACGGGCTGCTCGAAGCCTTCGCCGCCATGTCCTCCCAAGAGCCGAGTTCACCTGAAGAACACCGTCCCGACTACTTCCAGCGTGATGGCCCGACCTTCACGAACGACCCGGCTGACGACATGCCCCTCCCTTCGACACCAAGTGTGGCGAGCGCGCCCGTTTCGCCCGAAGACGCGCTGGCCAGGGCAGTCGACCTCCACCTCCGCTCTTTGCGGTACCTCGCCCCTTCAGCACCAAGTGTGACGAGCGCGCCGGTGCGGGACAGCGTCGAGCCGGGCGCACCACCGACTACGTCCTTCTCGTCCGGCGACATGCTAGTCAAGGCAGTCGACCTCCAGCTCCGCTCTCTGCGGCAACTCGCCCGCGAGCTCTCGGAGAAAGACGCAAGATGGGGCCCCCTGGCGCAGGAGTTGGAGAACGTGGAGGCGCTCCTGGCGCACGACAGAGCTGGCGCCCTCCCGCTCAGAGACTCTGAGACTTGCGAATTGCCCGAGTCGTCGCGGGCGTCCGCCGCCAGCGGCACCCGGGATAGTCTCTGATTCATCTCTTGGCCGCCTAGAGCAAGAGCTGTAGCGTCTGGTTAAGCGTCTCGCCGCACCATCTTCATCGCATCCGGCCATTACCATCGATCTCTCATCGTACTGTCTGTCTCACCACAACTTAGTATTAATGCACCGGAGATCGCGGTCCTCGAAGCCAAGGAGCCCGCCCGGCCAGGTGCGCAGCTGCGACGTGTTCGCATTGCACCCATATTTTTCGTCTTCTCGCTTATGCTAACGACCGAAGGGGTGCGCAAAGCTGAGCACGCTGGGTGCGGTATGGATTTGAAGCCATTATAGTACGCGCATTCTCCGCCATCATCCCTACCGTCTTTAAACGCTACTCCAGCCCAGCTCCGCCACCGTCGGCGTGTGCCACACCAGCGTTGGGAAGCGCACCCAGTTCACCCCTACTCGCTTGCGTGCTATTGAGAAGATCATGGAGCGCGATGTCCCGGCTGACGACTGACTTTGCACTACCACCAAAGCTTCTCCGCGCGCCCTGGGCACTTGTATCGACGCGTCGATCAATATTGCACCTGTACACTCGTCAGCGCTGGGAATCAGCGAGGGACTCTGAGGGAGTAACGCATTAGTTTTGCCCATCGTTTTGAATATTATGTTTTATACTACAAATTGTAATTCTCAAGTTCTATAACATGGCGACGGACAAAAGGAGAACAGAATGTGTGCTCAACCTCTAATATACACAACACCATGCATTCATGGTGTAGCGGTAACATTGGGTCTTCCCATGGAGAATCAATCTCCTGTGTGGCCTAGCTCCGGGTTCGACTCCCGGTGGATGCAGTCTGCGGCTTACCGGCTTTTTTGTTCAACTTCCGCAGGATTTTTGAGTAAGGCGCAGTCGCTCGCAGTATGCCTCGGAGCAATTCGGTGATGAGGAAGGTATTGTACCGGGCATCCCTCATAGGCCCTTCACGGGACATGGAATCTATGCATTGACATCCAAATTCTCATTCATTCCCTCAGTATCTCTAAGCACAACAAGACGAAGTAATTCATTGCGCGCCATCCTCAGAAATATCAACCAAATCCCTTCCTTCCTCCACCATCTCCCCTTTCTTGCATCCTACCGCCTTTACAATGCCGCTTACCTGTGCTTTCAGCACCGTCTCCGTCTTCATACTCTCCAGCACCACAACCGACTGGCCCTTCTCCACCCTGTCGCCGACGCTAACGCGCACCTCCACCACGACGCTGGGCATCGGCGCGCGTAGCGCACCGCGCGCTGCGCCGAGGACGTCGCCGCCCAGGGACATCAGCCACTTCGGCGAGGGCACAAGAAGGGTGGTCTTCCGCCCGCCGTGGAATATGTGAAGACGTTCCATGGTGTTTGGACTACTCGACGCTGGCACGGAGGCGGGTGGCTTCTGGGATACAATTGTTGTATGCAGCGCGGCCGCGTCCAATGTGGTTGCAAGAGCTGATGGCGAGGCAAGGCGCGCCGGGACGTTGGCGTATGTCCGCTCGGACGAAGAAGTCTTCACAGTGATGTTGAAGCGTCCGCCGGTCCCCGATTTGACTCGTACTGCGATGGGCTCCGCTGCACTGTCCTCGCTCTGCAGGGTGATGACGCGCTCGTAGACGTCTCCGCCGAATCTGCGGGACGAGAGTGTCGTCCAAGGGGACGATGGGCCAAGCGGGGTCAATGGGTGGTCGCGAAGGACAATGAAGAGCGCCGCTTGCGCTAGGACATCTGGTGAGGGACTAGGTACGGGAGGAAACAGGTCTTGATGATGTTTCTGCGAAAAGGTACGTCAGACACTGAGCCAGCGCGAATAGTTGACAGGAAATGCGCACAGGTATAAAGCCTGTCTCAACCTCGCCATCAATGAACGCCTGGTTCCCGGCCAACGTCCTGAGGAATTCCACGTTCGTAGATACGCCCACCACCTTGTACTCTTCCAGCGCGCCTCGCAGCCTACGTAACGCTTCTGTGCGATCATTTCCATGCACAACGAGCTTCGCGATCATAGGGTCGTAGAAGACACCTATCTGCGCGCCTTGCTCGAATCCTTGCTCAAGTCGAACAGACGGCACCACTTTGACAGATAGATCTCGCAAAGGCGTGAAGAGTGAGTCAGCAGAAACTCCATTCTGAGGTTGAGCCTGGATCGACAAGGGAGGTGCGAAGATGTGAGTAGGTACCGGGGTGGAAAGATATAACAGCTGTCCAGAATCTGGAAGGAAGTTGTTCCGGGGGTTCTCCGCGTATATGCGTGCTTCGAATGCATGCCCGACCAGAGGGATGGCGGTCTGTGGAAGTGGAAGTGGGTTACCGGCTGCAACCTAGGACGCAGGAAGTAGATCAGCTTTAAGACGGCATCACTATCGCACACATATTACCTCCAACTGCCACTCGACCAAGTCGAGCCCGGTGATCATCTCCGTTACGGGATGCTCTACTTGTAGTCTCGTGTTCCTAGAATCACGGATGTCAGCACGGTATAGTTGGGCTACCGCTAATCGACTTACATTTCCATGAAGTAGAACTTCTGCGTGTCGTTATCAAAGATGAATTCAACGGTCCCAGCACCGACGTAGTTCACTGCCTTCGCAGCGGCGACGGCCTTCGCACTCAGATCTGCACGCAGTTCCGCGGATAAGCCAGGAGCAGGAGCCTGCCAGTATGGAACGTGAGCTTCTTTCAGCTTCAACACGTGGCAAGGCATACCTCCTCGATGATCTTTTGATTCCGCCTCTGGACCGAACAGTCTCTCTCCCACAAGCTGACGCAACCGCCCAGCGTGTCTGCAAATACTTGCACTTCGACATGCCGCGGCCGCACGATGTATTTCTCCACGAGCACATCTGCGTTGCCAAACGACTTCTGTGCTTCGCGCTGAGCCGACGCGAGTGCTTCGTAGAACTCGTCTGGCGCGTGCACTGCACGCATGCCCTTGCCACCACCTCCGTGGACAGCCTTGATGAGCACAGGGAAGCCTGACGGAATTTATAAGTGATCAGCGAGTGAAATTGTGCAGCGGGGCAATACCAATTCGAGTGGCCTCCTGGAATAGATACTGCGGATCCTGATTGGTGCCGTGGTACCCAGGCACGACGGGGACTCCAGCATCTGAGCATGTACATCACGGTAAGTCAGGAGTTATGGGCAAGACAGGAACACTGACCGGACATGATCGTCTTGGACTCGCTGAAACCCGACATACACAGGTAAACGGCCGCCTCAGCTCGCTATAAAGATTACCACACGTACCTCTTCGAGCCCATACTGACAATAGCACTTGCTGGCGGGCCTATGAATACAATGCCCTCCTGCGCAAGACGCTCAGCGAATTGAGCGTTCTCGCTCAAAAAGCCATATCCGGGATGGACGGCCTGATGCGCTCATCATCTTCCATAGCGCAAGTAGAAATACTCGCTGTACGTGCCTGTGCGCCGCTACGACGGCAGACATCGATGATCTTGTCGATGCGAAGCTATGGAGTCACTGGCTTAAAAGGGAGGTAACGACTTTGGATATGCGGGCTCACGTAGCTCTCTGAGGAAGATGAAGGACCAATGCAATACGCTTCGTCCGCCTGCATCTCTGAACAACGGGAGACAGCTGATGCAGACTATGGGCGTACCATCCGCACATGTAGCGCATCTGCATCCACCTCGCTGTAAACTGCTATGGTCCTGATGCCCAGCTTCCTTGCCGTCCGAATAACACGGCATGCAATTTCGCCCCTGGATATCCACCGTCCTTGTTTGACACATTGTACTCAGGTATGGGTATACATGACTCACCTGTTGGCAATCAGGATCTTGTCAAAGTGAGGCTTCTTGGAGGACACTTCATGCGAGGCGAAACTTTCTGCAGAATCATTAGTCTGTATTCAGCGCACACTATCCCTTGAATACACTTAACTACGAACCTGCGTGTGATCTGAATCCTCGGGCATAGGAAGCACGCGAGTCTAGCGCGACATTGGTGGCAATGCGTGTGTTATGTTGAAACGGTGTCCTGTGAGAGGCCGCAGCGACTCCTTTCCAGAAATGTGTCTTATTCCCAACGTTACGAGAATGACGAGCAACAGCGACGCGACGCGTCGTTGGCAACATATGCGGACAATATGCGGGGTAGAACTACAACTTGAATATGTTTCCGATACGGTGGTATCAATGTCCTTGGGAGCCAATCCGATTCCGCCAAGTGCCTTGTCCAATTTAAAGTGCAAAGCAAGAGTATATATAGAACAGAAATCAGTGTAATTGCGAAGGTCTGAGTGGTGTCCGACTAGAACAGCCCGCCGGTGCCGCGGAACTTGAGCTGGCTGCCTCCGACGGCCCGTGCTCCCGGATGGCTCTGCACAGCAGACGCCCACCACTGAGGATGCGCGTCTACCCCGGCGCGTTCTTCTACACTTATAGATTTCAGAGACCGAATTTTCGAATCTTGCAGCGAGACTACTGGTATCATGAATGGTGTGTTGTGCTCGATTTTCTGATTAGTGGAGTTCATACTTCTTTGTTCCAATAAATGGAACGACCACGACGAAGGGGATTCAAGATGCTCTAGTCAGGATGGACATTGGATGGTATTAGTGCTAAGGTTACTGATGCGAAGAGTGCGTCAGAGGTACAAATATTCCTGCGTCTTGCTGACATCGAACTGCAGCTGTGACGGATGACGTAGCGAAGGATGTGAAGGAGATGAGACGTGAGTTGTTCCTAACTTATATCTTTGCTGACTGCCTCAAGCTGAGATACTTTTATAGATGACGACATACGCGAGAGGTGTCGCAGATGGCTCTCACCTCCGGACCCTTCGACGAACCACAACACGGCTCGTGAGTCTCATCATTGGGATACTGCAATACTGCAACGTGGTTTATCGAGGGCAAAACCTTTATGGAATGGAAGATGATGAGATCGTCGCTATGGATTTACGAAAAGTGTGTTTCCAATGGCCTTCTTTCTCCTCCACTGTTAGTGATGGATCAACTGCAAAGCGGGTGCGGGGAAAAGCATTCTCTGGTATGTTCAGCTTCGACTGTGACTGCTACCGGTACTCATCCCAATGCACAGTTCTACAATCGTCAAGGATGTCAAATGTCTATGCAAGCGCAACCGAATTCTACCTACGTGTTCTTCTACTGCGACTTCCGAGAATCCGCAAAGCAGAACGTTCGTGGCAAGCTATCATCTTTACCCATCCAACTCTCTGCCCAGTCGGACGTTTGTGACACTTGTTAATGAGGGTACTGCATTTATTGCGGACCAGGATGTCGACAGCAGTATGATCGATATATTCACCGTGCTCTCGAGCACGCTGGTCGTTTGATGAAGTTGTTTTCTCGGCCCCGGTGTAACGGACTGGCCCGTGGTAAGGCTGTCGAATTAAGAGTAGAATGTCGGGGCTCTCATATCACACGCATCAATTCACTCACTTCTGTATAACAAAAGCGTATTTGTATGCTCTATCCTTTCTTTGTAGCATTAGGATCCTTCCAATACTACACAGTCGATGTTCTGTCTGATTTATTCTCTATCAGACTTCGGTCTGCAGGCTTCCACATTACGTCCGGCCCATCGGCCCGGGTACGCGCTGGCCTGTTCACCAGCGCCTAAGTACTAGCGGGACGCTTCGTCAACGTCGTCTCCGACGGCTATGCTGCAGATACAATAAAACATTCCAACATGACCCACGCGAAAAATTCGATACCACCACCGACATCGCTGCGGGATGACGAACTAGCAGAACTGCCCAGCTTGGCTGACATGCTGGCCTCGTCTCCGGGCGCATCGTCTAGCACCCTCCCCGCCTCTGCGCTGTCGTC